TTCTCCCTCTCCCACTCCCCCTGCTTGTGTTCCCTCTCTCGCTGTGTCTCTCTGTCAAATAAATAAATAAATAAAATCTTTAAAAAAAAAAAAAATCTGATCTCAAGAGGACCAGAAGTTCTAGTCTGTTCCTTTACACCAAAGCTCACACCACTGATTGGAAAGTTCTAGCTGAAGGAGCTAGAAGTTCTAGCATGTTCCTTCAGACCAAGACACAGACCGTTTGTTGATTGGTGGGGCTGTTTTATTTATTTATTTATTTATTTATTTTTTAAAAAAGATTTTATTTATTTATTAGAGAGAGCGAGCATGAGCAGGGGGAGTAGCAGAGGGAGAAGCACACTACCGCTGAGCAGGGAGCCCGATGCGGGGCCCGATCCCAGAAACCCTGAGACCATGACCTGAGCCAAAGGCAGACGTTTAACCGACTGAGCCACCCAGGTGCCCCTAGGTGGGGTTTTAATTTTAAGCGGACAACAAAGCCTGAACTAGATAGAAGTCCGGAATCTTAAATTCAATCCAGGTGAAGGAGGGCGGTGGGGCGGGCCTTTCTGGGGTCCCCCAAACCCCACATCTTCTATTTTTGGATGCCTGCACACACTCTTACATTGGTGAATGAGGCTACTGTCCTTCGTGGTGTTGTTTCCTGGTGGTTATGACTATAGGTGGAGTGAGAGTTTGCACACGACCCATCGCGCCTCCCGGGGTTCAGTAGCAACCTTAGCTGGCTTCTCGGTACAATCCTATTTCTAAGTGTTTTGGTAGAGTAATCAAGTTGAGCAATTTGCCGAGGTCCCCCAACTGGTTAGTGATACAAGTCGGGACCCGGGCAGAGTCTGAATACTATCCAGGCTTGTGTCCAGCACCACCTTTCCACCCGACTGCCCAAATTTCAGTCGGCTCCTTTGAATCTTTTTATTACTTTGTCGTGACTCTCCACATGGTCAAGTTCAACGTTTACATACTGTTGATGATCAGAAGGATTTCTGTTGAGGTTTTCAGAAATGCTGGTAAAGACACTGTTTCTCCTAAGGTCGGCAAGTGCCCCGGATTCACGATTCACAATTTACGAAGCAGTGTCTTTTTCCCGCAGGTGCACTTAGAACTACCTCCCAGTTCTTCAGTGGTGCAAGCCCAAGAAGATTTTGATCTGCTCAAATCAAGCAATATTAGAAGATATGAAGTCCTTAGGGAGATCCTGACAACGCTCGGCCTAAACTGTGACATCAGACACGTTCCTGCCTTAACCCCTCTTTACTTACTGCCTGCGACGGAGGTGAGTGTGTGCTCAGGCAGGAAGGGGACGACCCCTCGGTCGCCTTTCTTCCAGACGGCGACCCTGTTCTTTCTCAGTGGTCTCGATTTTGATTTCTGTTTTTATTTGGCCTTCAGGTTTGGGAACCGTGTTAAAGATATCCAAGTATAACTGATATTTGTGGTGTTTGTAGGTAAGGGTGGGAGAGAAGACTGTTGGAGGTTAGAAGGCGTTGTATCTTAAGGGTCACGGCCTATCCACTTTAGGGGGCAGAGGGTCACTCTTTTATGTGTCAAGAGTGTATTTGGAAACCACAATTTATTCATTTGGGATTAAAGACCTTTGTTTTGATCCGGGCCTTTTTCAGGGAATTTTTGGACAGGAAAAATTCATTTGTGCTGATGTCTGCCCTCTTGTGGCAGAAGGGGCTCCGAGTTCAGTTTCTGTCCTCTTGTTGTGTCTAAAAGGGAAATGCCTGAGGAGCTGGGAACGTATTCAGGAATTTTTCTGGGCTTTTGTCAGCACTTGATGCCTGTGGTTGTTACCTGGTTTGGGCTGGTTGCCAGATTCTTAGGGGTGTCTCCTCCTACTAACCCCTTTGCTTTGCCAAGCTGTCAATCTTTTATTGATTGTGGCAAGGTATTTGGAGGTCTTTTTCCTGTCTCCCCTACATAGGGAAATTTGTGAGTTTAGTGATATAACCCTGCAGTTTCAGCAAATGCCTGATGGTCCAGGTGACTCTAAACACCAAACTTACCTGCTTTCTCTTGAAAAGAACAAAGTATACCTCCTACCTCAATATTTTTAAAAGAGAAGGAACTCCCTTTTGGGTTATACTCTATCCCTTGGCAAACTTAGTTGTTGGAGGAGAGCGGAGCTGTGGGCTGTCTGGTTGGGATGTGCTCACTTGGAGAAGACAGCTATAAACTCCACGTGCGTATAAGATTAGGATACCTTATAGGATTATATGAGGTTTGCAAGAAACAATGTATGTGAATGTTTTGTGTAAATTATATTATTTAAAAGACAGTCCAATTATTAATATTATTAGTTTAGAGTTTTAATAAGTTACATGTGTATAATGTACCTAGTGCCTGTTATCTAGTCTAAAAAGACGTCAGGTAATGTTTTAAATTTTAAAAATGAATGATATTGCAATGGATTTTTTTTCCATTTAAGAAACATTCTTTTATTTCATTTTCATTGTTGTTTTTAGCCATTTGTACTCTTTTAACTTTTTTTTTTTTTAAAGATTTTATTTATTTATTTGACAGAGAGAGACACAGCGAGAGAGGGAACACAAGCAGGG